GGGGGCCGGGGTTCGGCCGACCCCCGCCGCGGTCACCCCCGCCACCGCCGCCGTCGCCCCCGCCGCGCGGCTCCTCCTTTCTGCCGCCCTCCAGCACCACCACCTCGGCTAGTCCGTCGTGGGTCCTGCTCCTCACCATGCCCGGCGGACCCGCGCCTTTCCCATCCCCTTTGTTTTTGACCCCAAATATGCTGGGCATGGTGCCACCCGATTTCCTCTTCTTGAATAATTTGAAAGCAGCTTTGTTAATCTTCCCCGACGGCTGCTCGGAGGCCGGAGTTCCGGCAGCACAATCACAAGGCAAGTCCATGTCTGCCGCGAGGGTCCCGGCACCGGCCTCCTCCTTCCTCCTGCAGACCCCCGCGGCCGCGCCGCCGCCGCGCGCGCTGACAGCCCCGCCGCCGCGGCCGCGCTCGCTGGTCTCCATGGAAACCGAGCGGGAGAAGCAGCTTTCGTCAGCTGTGGGCTCGCGCCAAGCCACTGTCATCCGGATTCTAAATCAACCTGAGCCACTCTGTGCTGCTGCTGCTGCCGCTGCTGCCGCTGCTGCTGCTGGAACACACAGGAAAAAGAAAAAAAAATTCCCCGCCCGCCCAGGGCTTATATAACACCCTAACCCACTAAGGATCCATCCGACTTGGCTTTGCGCTGTATAGTGTGCAGGGCGGGGGGGCGGGGGGGGGGGGGGCGTGCAAGAACACGCAACAGAGCCTTGAGCTTGAATGCAAGAATTAGAGTCGTAATTATGGAATTCCAAATCCCATCCAGGCTTACCCACCTTCAGATTCTGCCTCCAGATTTACTCTTTCACAAAATGCCCCCCAAATGGACAAAAAATAAATTTTAAAAATCCAACCAACACAAAATGCTTAGTCTTCTTATCACCTATCCTGGACTTCATGAATCTTTGTGCCTTTCCCAAGCCCTTCATGTGTGTCCTTAACATTCGGGTACCAAGCCCAGCAGACATGGAGCTTTACATCTTTGTCTTGTCCAGTGCAGAGCACAATCTCCAGGTCGATGTTGAAATCTTATTGTTGTTGCTGTCCTGATTCTTGCTGCAAAAACAACAGCCATCAAATACCCATTAGCAGCTCTCTGCAAGGAAAGTGCAACAGTTCTGAGGATGGAAGTTGACTGGTCCTTTGGGACAAGCCTGGCTTTTATCCCAGACTCCTGCTACTGGGGCTGAGGTCACAGAATCCCCTGCCCAGTCTGCATGTGGTCGCAATGGAGTGATGAAGATGGAGTCTCAGGTCCACTCCAGGGGTGGTGCTTGGAATCCAGAATCTACCCTCTTTTCCATACAGCAGGTCACGGGTGTTACTTTTGACCTTGCTCCTGCCACCTCCTTCAATACCCTGTGTCTGTTCTGCAGCTGCCTTCCCCGCTGTGCAGAGTCCCTAGTGCCCATGAGTCTCTGCAGCTACTGGATCTGGGAAAAGGAAAACTATCCCAGGGAACCGCCCAATCTGGGAATCTCTTCTGTGCTCTGACTTAGAGAGTGACTGCTAAATTGTAAACCTGACACCAGACTTCATGATCCTAGCTGAGGGCTTATTAGCAAACATACATATATATGAAGAAGCATGTACATATATATAATTTCTATATGTTGGATATTTTTAAAGTGCAATAATATTATGTATTACTATTTATTAAATATTATTTAATAACTAGAGGCCCAGTGCACGAAATTCATGCACAGATAGGGTCCTTAGGCCTGGCTGGCAATCAAGGCTGATCTGTGGGGTGACTGGTGGGGCGATTGGGGCCCCCCCCACCCCCGCTGACACCCACCTAGGCTGTCCTGGGGCCTACAGGATAGGGGCAGCTCCTGCATTGAGCATCTGCCCCCTGGTGGTCAGTGCACATCATAGCCACCAGTCATTGCACCGGTAGTTCCACCATTCGGTCGATTTGCATATTGGGTTTTTATTATATAGGATATGTAATGTTACATATATACAGATATCAATATTTTTCTGAATCATCTTGAGCTTCATGTTTGTGTGCTACTTGCGTTACACCCAGAAACCCTAGTTGCTATGTCAGTTGAGGCTGGAGTTTTGCTAATAATCTGTCGGCCATTGCATGGAACAGTTGGTTTTAATTTTGGCCTTGGGGTTATTACCTATATACCTGCCTTTCCTGCTGATGTTTATCAAGAACACTGTTTCATAAAATTAAGAAATCAGTGAGTTTAGGTTCAGGAGAGGTTTTTATTCCCAGCCTTGTAATCACATCAGCTCTCTCCCACTCTTAACCGGCACCTCCCAGACAGGGTGTGAGGCTAAGACCAGAGAGAGGCTCTCCCCAATTCTAGTTGACCACTTACCATGAGGAATCAGGTGCCTCACTGCCTTGGGGAGAGAACAGGTGTTAGGAACTATAAAGAGAAATTCATTTGTTATCTCTCCACAACCTTTTGAGGACAGTTGAAAATTTTTTTCAATTCTTTTATACACACCATACAATTGCTTAGCTATGTGGGTTACTACATAACTGTGTCATCTGGAAGAGTTTATGACTGGGATCCAGGAAGATTCAGGAGTCTATAAATATCTCCCCTTCTCCAGCCCAGAGCAGAGAGCTGGGAGGTGAACCTGCTCATCCACTGGGAGCTCTGACCTAGCAGGACAGGCCATTTGCATGAGAATCCCTGAGCCCCCTGGGGAGAAAGCTGGCAAGGACTTTGGGATGAGTATCATTCCCCGGGGACATAGACATCCAAACAAAGAGAACTGGACAAAGCAGTCTTCATTCTGGGGAAGGTGCGGGTGGCAACGGTAAGTCACTGGCCCTGAGGTAGAAGAATGTGAGGGTTCCTGGAACCATCAAGACTTGGAGGCACAGGGCAGGGGGAGCTTTAGAAGCTGTCATGTGAGTGGGGACCCTCCCTTGTCCTCCAACCCAAGGTCCTTTTTATAGAGACCATCATAGAAAGGCCAGTTTACAAGGACCTTGGCAGACAGTACCTCTCAGCCCCACCCCGGGGGTGGGGGGAGGGAGGACAAGGGAGGAAGGCCCCAGTCAAACTTTGGGTGGCAGATCGATTTAAAAGGCTATTGTTAGAAACCAGTGCAAAGGTTTACCTGCACCTTAAGTTGCTCTTCACTGTCAAGCCTGGGGAAGCCGATTGCATTTGCACAAAATGGTGATTTCTTTTCCCTGAAAGACAGATCATGACAGTGAAGAAAATTTTACCAGAAACGCCTCCTGTTTTGGGTTACAGTTTCACCTTTCCTTCTTCTCCCCTCCCCTGCCACTGCCCCGCCCTGCCCCAATTTAAACAGTGAACAGAAAATTTGAGAAGAAATGGCTAGAGAAAGGGGCTGAGGGGAACTGTTTCAGGAAAAAGCTGTTCTGAAATGACAGGATGCGTCACAGATGCAAACAGCAAGTGGGCCCTGCTGGAGACATGTGCCTGCTTTTCTCTTTTGGCACGAGGGAGGGTTTGTTGTTCCGTCGGGCCTTTCTCTCTGGGTAGCTAGTGTCTCTGGAGGAGGATAATCAAAGCAAGGAAAAAAAAAAGAGAAACAGGAGGAATCATAGAGAGCTTATCATCATCGATTCCTTTTCCAGGGTGTCTTCAGCCAGTGTTGCCCCTGCCTTTGTCCTAAGCTCACTGAGTGGAATGTTCTAGCTGAGGGAAACCACTCAGAACATAATGTGGAAAAGGCTTGGTGAGCAGCTGCCCTTGGAGCCATGGTGTGGCTGCTGCTGTGGAATTCCATGTGTCACAGCATCGCCATGAAGGAGGCTGCTGGCTTTCCCGAAATTTGCCTGAGGTCTTTAAGGGGATAATGCTCAATCAGTGAAGTTTGGAAAGGATGTTTGAATTGGGATCAACACTTCCTGTCTCCAGCTCTCTTCACCTGCTCTGGACCCCAGCCCAATCAATAAGGCCAGCTCCCTGTTCCTGCCCATCTCCACCCTCCCGGCCATGATTATCATCCAAGGCGAGCTGTAGACACTGTGATGCCAGTGAGGACCCTCAAATGTCCTCTAACCCAGGGTCTCTGTTATGAGGACAATCAGGAAGAGCCCCAGCTTTGCTAACCTTGACCCTCACTCCCAAGTCCACTCTGTCCACATATCTGAGGCCTGTCTTGCCTTTGAGGGATGCTGTGGGCCGTACAAGCTGAGACCATAAGGTAAAGTGGACAGATGTGCAGGGAGCCTAGCCGGGGGAAGGCAGGGGGGTCAATGCTATGGCACTTTCCTATACCCTCCTTCCTGGGAAGGCTCTAGCCCAGGGTGGGCAGGGTGAGGACCAGAGAGGTCTAAGCGCAATCAGCCCTGAGCTAAATTGAAGTTTCTGTTTTCTTTTGCAGATTTTGATTCCTGATTTTTCCTGACCCTCAGCTTCTCTGTGAGCTAAGAGCTGTTCTGGGTATATGTTTTCTTCACAGGAGAAATTAATTTCTAATTAGTAACATGCAAGTGTAAAAAGCTCAACACGACTTGTAAGTTTACATGTTAAACCTTGGGCACAGCTGAGGCTGCTGAGGGGAGAGCTCATCTCGGAGAGACAGTTCCATGCTGGCTCTGGAGCGACCTGGAAGCTCAGGACATGAGCTGTTCTGGTTCAGCAGGTGTCACCACTCATAAGATGTCACCTTGGCCTGGCCCCCATGAGTGTGAACCTGAATCCTAGGGAAAGGGGGTGGGCAATAAAGGACCAAATAAAAGCAGAATGAGCATTTCTCTGTAATGCTAGAGGATCGGGGGCGGAGGGGGGGGTGCAGGCCATGCAGCAGCTGGCAGGGCTGGCACCGGGCAGTCTCCATGCCTCCCTGCCAGCTTCTGGTTCCTGCCAGCAATGCTCAGTCTCTGCATGCATCATTCCAACTCTGCCACCGTCTTCACCTGGTGCTCTCCCCCACGTGACTATCTTATAAGGACAACAGTCATATGGGATTGAGGGCCCACTCCATTCCAGTATCACCTTGTCTTAATTTACATCTTAGACACATCCACAAAGACCCTATCTTCAAATAAGGTCACACTCACAGGTACCAGGGGTTAAGATGTGACATCTTTTGGGGGACACAATTAAACCCCCAACAAGCATCATTGCCAGCAATGGAGATAGCACTTCACCTTCATCCCTTCCATGCAGTCACTAGTGCCCTGGCACAGACATGAATGTTGGTGGGTTCAAACTAGCTCCAGCAAGTGTGGGCCCTCAGCAGGTTTCAAGGTCATGGATGACACTTCCAGGTTACCAGCAATGTGAGGACAGTATCACTGCCAGCCAGAGTAAACAAGAAAGAAAATGGTGGTCGCCAAGAGGACTAGATCTTGGCATACATATCTCTCAGGATTGCCCGGGAGGAACGTAAAGGTGGTGTCAGAATTCCCATGTAGCAGATAGGATACAGCAAAAGAACCACTGTGGATATCGTTGTTCTATTTCCTGCA